GCATTCCCACCAGCAGTGCAGGAGGGTTCCTTTTTCTCCGCATCCTCGCCAGCACTTGTCAGTTTATTGATTTATTGATGATAGCCATACTGACAGGTGTGAGATGGTATCTCATTGTTGTTTTGATTTGCATCTCTCAGATAATTAGTGACTTTGAGCGTGTTTTCATATGTCTTTGGGCCTTCTGTATGTCCTCTTTCGAAAAGTGTCTATTTAGAACCTTTGCCCACAACACAGGCAGTTTTACAGGCAAGTTCTGCCAAACATTTTTAAATTTTTTATTTTTTATTAATTTCAGAGAGGAAGGGAGAGGGAGAGATAGAAACATCAGTGATGAGAGAGAATCATTGATCAGCTATCTATGGCATGCCCCCACTGGGGATTAAGCCCACAACCCAGGCATGTGCCCTGACTGGGAATTGAACCTCTATTTCCTGGTTCATAGGTCAAAGCTCAACCACTGAGCCACACCAGCCGGGCACCTTCTGCCAAATTTCGAAGCCACAAGTAGTCTATATCTTATACCGATTGTTCCAGAAAACAGAAAAAGAGGAAAGCTGACCAACGTATTTTACAAGCCTTCTTTAATCTTGATTTCTGAACCAGTTAAGTATACCATAAGACAAGAAAATTATACACTTTACTGATAAATATAGATATGAAAATTTCTAAATGAAATATTAAGTTACTTGAATCCACTAGTGCAGTGGTCGGCAAACTCATTAGTCAACAGAGCCAAATATCAACAGTACAACGATTGAAATTTCTTTTGAGAGCCAAATTTTTTAAACTTAAACTATATAGGTAGGTACATTGTTATTAACTGAATTAGGGTACTCCTAAGCTGGCCTTTGCTTAAAACGTCCTCAATCTGAGGGGTCGACCTCAGTGAACGTACCGCCACTTCTTCTAACGCCAGTTCTTCAAAATAGACTCGCCCAGGCCGAAGGCCGAAAACCGACTTCTGCGCATGGGCCACGAAGTTTCAATCGCACTGTACGTGTGGGCCACACGTGGTATTTTCTGGAAGAGCCACACTCAAGGGGCCAAAGAGCCGCATGTGGCTCGCGAGCCACGGTTTGCCGACCACTGCACTAGTGTATATAAAATGCATCAATATCTAAATGAATGTCACTCACAAAAAGGGAGATACTATGATTTCTATTGAGACAGGCTAGTAAGCTAGGACAAGAGGAACAGGGAAACGGAGACAGACAGTGACGCAAGCAGTTTGCAGCCATCTAGTAAATCCTATCTCCCTAAACCAAGGACACTTAAGAGTAGATGGTTTGGCCCTGGCAGGTTTGGCTCAGTGATTAGAGCATCGTCCCATGGACTGAAGGGTCCCAGGTTCGATTCTGGTCAAGGGCATGTACCTCAGTTGCAGGCTCAATCCCCGGCCCTGGTTGGGGTGTGTATGGGAGGCAACCAATCCATATGTCTCTCTCACATCGATGTTTCTCTCTTTGTCTCTCTCCTCCCACGCTCTCTAAAAAATCAATGGAGAAATATCCTCCAGTGAGGAACAACAATACAACAAAAAGAGTAAATGATTTGGCCCAGCCAGTGTGGCTCAGTGGTTGAGCATTGACCTATGAACCAGGAGGTCACAGTTCAATTCCCAGTCAGGGCACGTGCCTAGGTTGCAAGCTTGATCCCCAGTATGGGGAGTGCAGGAGGCAGCTGATCAATGATTCTCTCTCATCATTGATGTTTCTATCTCTCTCTTCCTCTCCCTTCCTCTCTGAAATCAATAAAAATATTTTAAAATATATTTTAAAATATATATTTTTAAAAAAGAGTAGATGGTTTGCACTTCTCCAGGACAGGAGGGTAAATAGCTTAAATTACCCACCTCAGGGAAATAGCAGAAATCCAATTTGTGCCAACCACACCCAAGGACAGATGAAGTTAAGGGAATAAATCTTATTTTGGCACATCAGCATAAAATTGATGAATTTTCTATTAATCCTCCCTTAAACTCCCAGCTTTTAAAAACCCTCAAAAAACTGTTCCTAGCTCATGTTCTCCCTCGTAGGAGCACTCCCCTGCCTTTCCCTTCCCCCACTTCTTCCCCCGCAGGCATGCACCTCCTAAACTCTCGGGGACTCCAGGAGTCTGGCAACCAGGGCGCAGGGGGCAGTGGCAGCTCATCCCAGACTAACCCACTGAACTCGTCCCCAAGATCCCCTTTTCTTTGACTTCTCAGTGAGCAAAGCAGCCCCGCCTCGGCTCACTTCCCCACCTAGTATCTCTCCTGTTGCTTCTTCTGTCTTAGATCCTTCCTTGTTTCACTGTCCCCAGCTGTAATAAACTTCCTCTAAAAACCACCTACACTCACGTTGTGAAATCTTACCTGCATGAAGGCAAGAACCCACACACCACCGCCTGCCCTAGGCAGACCAGCTCAGGGCAGGTCCCCCTTCTGGGAACAATATGAAACACTGCCCTGGCCGCCCTGGCCGGTGCGACTCGGTTGAGTGTTGTCCCACGCACTGAAAAGTCTGATTCCCAGTCAGGACACGCAACCGATCAATGTTTCTCTCCCATCAATGTTGCTCCCTCTCTCTCCCTATCCCATCCTCTCAAAAGAAAAAAAAATCAATAAAAGCATATTTTTAAAATATATGAGGTACCTAGAGTGGTCAAATTCATAGAGAGGAAGTTGAATGGGGGTGGGGGTTGGGGGGAGGGAGAAATGAAGAGTTGTTTAAAGAGTAGAGAGTTTCAGTTTTGCAAGATGAAAAAGTACTGGAGGTTGGTTGTACACCAATGTGTACTTAATACTACTGAACCGTGCACTTACAAATGTGGGTGTGCAAATTCGTACAACCACCCAGCATCTGTGGTACTTTGTGAAGTCAAGGGTGCATGGACTCTATGGCCTAGGAGTCCTGCTTCAAGCAGAATTCTCCGACCGTCCACATGGGGACCCTGTGAGGATGTCCCTAGCAGTGACGTATGTGATGTGATGGGGGCCTCGGGCCACGCTCAGTGTGCGTCACTTGGTGGGGATGGCGGATACTAGTAAAAGCGCTGGGTGCTCAACACGCAGCCAGAAGAAGCAACAGAGGAGATGCATGTGGAGAACATTGGTATTGAGTGTAAAAATGCCCAAATGTCAACAACAGAATGAGTTTCATACATGACACCATGTTTGTAGCTTGGGAGCACATCCACATGAGAGCCAGTGTCACGTGTCGTAGAAAGCCAGGCGGGCTTCAAGGAAACGGGCTGAGCCCACGGACGGAAGGGAGCGGGGAGGAGGGAAGACGGGGAGAGGAAGAGGGAAATGGTTCAGAGTGATGATGTGTCACAACCTGAGACGTGACTGACTCAGCTCCGTGTCAATAGAATAAAGTGGGGTGGCCGGGTGGAGGAGAATGAGCACCCCTGGAGCTCGGGGGCCTGCGTTCAAATACCCTCCTCCCCCTTGCACGCACTGGGGACTTGAACAAAGCCCACATTCACGTCTTACACAAACGTTCACTGAGCGCGTACTTGGTGCCCAACACTGTGCTGGGCACTGCAGACACAGTGGTGAGTAAAAGGGAAATTTAAGGTAAGTGCTGGATGTGGAACTGAAACTGACTACATTGCAGGGAAAGGGATGGCTTCCCTGAGCGATGGGTGCTTTGCAGGCACCGGTGACAGCGGGTGCAGAACCCTGAGGTGGGATGAGCTTGGCCTGAGGCCGAGGCGGGTGAAGGGGGCAGAGGAGGACTTGATGAGACGGGGGAGGCAGGCAGAGACCAGAGTATTCAGAGCCCGTGGGCCTGAGTCAGGGGTTCAGATCTTGTTCTCACCACCATGGAAAGCCAAGGGAGTTTTATAGAGGAGTGACTTCGCAGCACGCTTGCTTTTACGCTTTTAAAAAAAGTTTTATTTAAGAACAACGCACCGAGAAAGGAATCAGGTATGTTTTTAAAGAACCCTTCGGCTGCTGGGTGGAGTGGATTGCAGGCGAGTGGGAGCCACCTGAACGCTCGAGCCTGTCTGCGCGGATGCAAGGCGGTGAGGAAGAACGCCCGCCCGTGCAGGGCCCCGGTGACCACGGGTGCGGAGCGGTGCCCTTCGGGCTCCTTGGCGCGGAAGGAGCGGCTGGAATGCGAGGGCCGCGCCTGGGGCCGGTAGGATGGCGCCCGGCAGGCAGCCCTCCAAGCCCGCGGCACAGACCTGGGGCTGCGTCGGAACCCGGCACCCGCCGTTGTTCGCGAAGGCGGCCGCTGGGCGGCGCTAGGGCCCAGCGCGGCCCGAACCGGAGGAGGCCCCGCCCACTCGGCAGCTCGGCGCTCGGCAGCGCGGGCCTGCGGGGGGCGGGGCGTAACGCGGGGGCGGGGCCTCGGCGAGCGGGCCCGGCTCCCTAGACGACGGCGCGAGGCCAGGCCTGCGT